GGAAGATCTTGTAGGACTACTGAGAAAGTATGACGTAATCTGTGGAGATACCCCTGGATGTACTACATTAGCTAGAAATGATGTGGACATGGGAGAGTCAGAATCGATAAAGCAACATCTTTATAGGTTGAGCGCAGAGAAACAAGCTAAGGTGGGAACTGAGATTCAGTACATGCTGGAAAACCACTTGATTGAATTTAGTCACAGCAGCTTGAGTTCACCAATAATGTTGGTTTCTAAACTAGATGGATCAACTAGACTTTGTAGAGATTTTAGAAAGGTGAATGTGGTTGCAAAGACATGATTTGTATCCAGTTCCACAGTTGGACTGCTGTATTGCTAGAGTTGGCAGTGCCTCATTCTTTTCTAAGATTAATCTATTGAAGGGGTACTAATAAGTGCCATGAACCTTAAAGGATAAAGAAGTATCTGCTTTTGTAACACCAAATGGATTATACCAATTTCAGGTGATACCATTTGGGTTAAAAAAAAACACACCAATTACATTCCAGAGTCTTATGAATGAGGTTGTGGCTGAGGTTTACAAATGTGTAGTTTATTTAGGTGATGCTATGGCACATGGTAAATGAAAAATCATGAGGTTTTTAGGAATGTATAGATTTTACTGGAAATGTGTGTGTAATTTTGGCATGATAGCTGCCTTTAACAAATTTGTTAAAGAAACAAGCAAAATTGGTATGAGCAGCAGAATGCCAAGTAGCCTTTGAAAAGTTGAAAGCAATCTTAATAAATGAACAGGTATTGGTCTCCCCTAATTTTTCCAGATGTTAAATATCAAATATTTTGTAATGAAACACATTTTTGAATAGAGTTACAATGTTTTATGGACAAAGGCATGTAACAACCTTTTTCTTTATTTTTCTGGCCTGAATATTGACTTCACCAGCTTCAAAATCTCTCCACCCCCAACCTGTCCATCGTCCAACTCACCTCTCTGCTCCACCCTTCTCACTGACCAACCATAATAGCCCTATCTGCATCCATCTATCTCTATCCCAACCCCCCTCCCTCTATTTATTTCTGGGCTCCCCTCCCCCTTGCCAGTCCTGACAAAGGGTTTCAACCTAAATTTTGACTTTCCTGCTCCTCAGATGCTATCTGGTTAACTAGTTGAATTGTAGGAGGTTCACTTTGAGAACTGTCTGCGCCACCTTACTCTCGTTATAGCCATCATCTTCCATTACTGTTATCACCACACTTGTTCCTTCTTGTCTTCTTCTTCTGACAATACTTTTCAGTATAATCCTGTAACATAAATGATTATTCTTCCTACGATTATTTATCAGAAAAGTCAGCCTCCTAACGATGTATGAACAAATGAACTCTTGTTTTTTAAAACCTAAGGTACCAATACTTCATCTCCTTGTTCAGATTATATCTTAATTGGTAGCCCATAAAACTTTTAACTTTTCCAGTACTATCCTAGCTGTTATCATCCTGAAAGGAATAGCTTCTGGAAATTGTGTTATCAAATCCATAATTGTAAATGAAATAACTGCACAGAAGCTGGTATCCCATCACTGAGTCACCCTTTACTTACATATGCTCTGTATACTGGCTCTAACCAGCCAGCTCCAAGCCAGTCCCTAGACTGAGGAGCCCTTCTGACACTCCTGTTTATAGGTCAGCCAGGGCTCCCTGATTGATCCTTGTTAACTACCACAATCAAGGATCTCATAGTCAATGAGATCCAGCTGGCCCTGGGTCCAGAGAATCACTCTGCTGTTTGGGGACCGGGGTAGCAACCACAAGCATTTGGGGACCATGAGAAGGGGAGTTCACTCCGGGACGTGGAGACTTGCAGGCAGATCATCCCAGGGTTTAGGGTCTGTCAGAGATGGCATCAATTTGGCGTCTGACAACATTGATAAGGGGTTCACTCCAGAGTTAGGGGAGGAGTGAGTGGGGATCACTCCATGGTTTAGGGATGGAGGGGCACACATGGGGATTTAGGGATAAGGGTGAATCATTCTAGAGTTTGGGAATTTGGTGTGGGGAGGGTGTCAGAACTGGGTTGAAGAATGTAGAGACAGCAAGTCACTCCGGGGTTTGAGGACTGGGGAGGGGGTACTCCAGGATTTGGGGACGGATGAGGGGGGTGTGCATGTAACTTCAAAGTTTGAAAACTAGGGGGTGATCACTCTGGGGAGGAGCCATTTGAGGGAATGGGAACTGTGGGGGGCGGGGGGGACGGGGGGGGGGGGGGGTCTCTCCCGGTTTGGGGGGGGGTGAAGGGATCACTCCGGGATATTTGGAGACTGGGAGGGGGGGGTACTCCAGCATTTGTGGACGGTAAAAGGTGAAGTCGATCATTCCAGGTTTCAGGGAATTGCAGTTGGGGTCTAGGAGAATCACTGTGAGCAGTGATAATTGTGTTATCTAGAGGCGGGGGGAGTGGGGATATCACTCTGGGATATGGGGAGATCATTCCAGGGTTTGGGATCTGCCAACCTCACATTTGGTGACTTTGACAAGGGGGATCACTCTGGAATGTGAGGAATGGGTGGGTGCTACCACTCCAGCATTTGGGTACCATTTGGGGAATTACTTGGTGGGGGAGTTGGGGGAGGAACAGTCCAGACTTTGGGAATTTTGAAGGGTGGATCACTTTGGAGTATGAAGACTATGATAGAGGGGAGAAATTCCAGGGTTTGGGGACTATGGTAAGGGGGTAGTTTCACATTGTGAAGGGAGAATCATGGCGCAGACGGGTGCAATCACTCTGCCACTTCAGAAACATGTGTGGGTGATCTCTCCAGGATTTTGGGATGTTTGAGTGGTGTAGCTACTGTGGGCAACACTCCAGGCTTTGGAGACTTTGAAGGGAAGGGTGGTCACTCTGGGGTTTAGGAATGGTGGGGGTGGGTGTATTTGGGGACTGAGGGTGGGAGGGGGTTGCTCCAGGGTTTGGGAACTGGGGACTACTCGGAGTTTAGGAGCCACAGAGAAAGGAAATACTCCAGGGAAGGGGTTAAGCTTAATGCCGAGAAGGCGATAACCTAGTGGTATTATCGATGGATTATTAATCCAAAGACCTAGATACCATCCTGGGGACCCGGGTTCAAATCCCGCCACTGTAGATGGTGGAATTTGAATTCAACAAAATATCAGGAATTAAGAATCTAATGATGGCCATGAATCATTGCTGATTACCAGATACACCCATCTGGTTCACTAAAGCCCTTTAGGGAAGGAAACTACCATCCTTACCTGGTCTGGCCTACATGTGACTCCAGACCCACAGCAATGTGGTTGACTCTTAACTGCCCTCTGCGCAGTCAGAGATGGGCAATAAATGCTGCCTAGCCAGTTACACCTTTAATGAATAAAGGGAGGAAAAGTCATCCAAGTTTTACGGGTGGGGTGTGGGTCACTCCAGTGTTTGTGGACTTGAGGAGGGGTTCACTCCAGGATTTGGAGACGGGTGATGAGGTGGTCATTCCAGGATTTAAGAACTCGGTAAGAGGGTGTAACTCTGGGGTTTGCTATTTTAGAGGCTGAGGGGGTAAGTCCATGGCTTGGGAACTGGGATGAGGGTCTGACTCCAGAGACTGGGTACTCAGGGGGAGGAGCACTAATGATCTGAGGGCAGGCATGTAAGGGGGTAATGTAGAGGTAGGGATTTCTCTGAGAAGCTAAAGGGGTAACTCCAGGATTTTGGGGTGGGGGTTTCTCTGGAACGTGGGGAGGAAGGGAGTCACTCTGGTGTGAGCTGACTGGAAAGGGGTTCATGCCGGTTTAGGGACGACGGGAGGCATTCACCCTAGGGCATGGGGACAGAGGGGAGACAGGGACTCCAGGATATAGGGATGGTTGAGGGGCACAGAACTCCAGGGTTTGGGGATTGGAGGGGGAAATCACTTTGGGGATTGGGGACCGTGCTGGAGTAAAGTAATTCTGGCATTTGGGTGTTGGAGGGGGTGGAATCACTCTATGGATTGGGAATTTGAGGAGGGGGGGATCTCTCCAGGGTTTGGAAGCTGTGAGGGGAAGGGGTCATTCCAGGATTTGGGAACTGGGAGCAGGGGCTCACTTTGGGGATTAGGGACTGTGCTGAGTGAAGCCATTCTGGGATTTGTGGCCTGCAATGGGGGAGGGGAGAAATCACTCTATGATTTGGGGACTTTGAGCAATAGGTCTCTCCAGAGTTTGGGGAGAGGGGATAGCATTCTGGGGTTTGGTGGCAGTGGGGAGGAGGGATCACTCTGGTATTTGGGATCTGGTGGGTGGACCATTCTGGGGTTTGGGAACTAGGGAAGGCCTTACTCCAGAGTTGGGGGAAGAAGGGAGTTATTCCTGGATTTGGGAATGGGGTGTGGGATATGGAGGCAGGGGTTCACTTGGGGTGTTGGGAGTAGTGGGGAGGGGGCCACTCTGGGCTTTATGAACGAAGGTGGTAGGCACTCCAGGATTTGTGAACTGCGGTTAGGGTGGGGATTGAGAGGAAAAAGAGTCACTCCGGGTTTTGGGACAGGATGGGGACTGTGAGCAGCAAGGATGTAACTCTGGGGTTTGGGGACAGGTGGAAACTCTGAAGGGGAAGTGGGTCACTCCGGGGCTTGGGGGCAGGTTGGGGAGTGTGAGGGGGAAGTGGGTCACTCCGGGGGAGGGGGGCAGTGTGGGGAGGGCGGGGGGAAGTGGGTGACTCGGGGGTTGGGGGGCAGCGTGAGGGGTAGTGGGTCACTCTGGGGTTTCAGGGCAGGGCGCACGGTGTGAGGGGTGCACCCTGGGGTTTAGGGGGATGGTGAAGTAACAGTGTCACTCTGCGCTTACTCAGCAGCGCAGGGATTTAACGAACAGTCAGAACGTGCTGACGTCTTACAGATTTTTCTGAAGAAGGGTCTCGACCCGAAACGTCAGCCTTCCTTTTCCTCTGATGCTGCTTGGCCTGCCGTGTTCATCCAACTCTACACCTTGTTATCTCTTGACGTCTTACACAACGTGTGCAACCTGGCTTGCGTGTCCCCGACAACGTGTCAACGTAAGTGCGCACGCAGCGAGCGGCGTGCTGACGTCCCCCCCGCCCCCATTCCGGTGAGTATTGTTGTTGTGGCTGCGGTGTCGGCTTCTCCGTTTGTCCGGGTTGCGCGGGCATTCCCGCCGCTGCATCCTTTTAGGGATGCATGGGCTGTCAGTACGTTCCCGAGTTGTTTTTCTGCTCTTCAGTCTGAGGCCGCCCTCGGTCCCGATCTAAAGCATTAACGCAGAGCCCGAGGGAGGAGGCCTCGCCGGCCTGGGCTGTTTACCCAGAGACCGAGGGAGGCTGGCGGCGGCGGCGGGGGGCAATGTTACCCCTAGGGAGAGAAAGAGGGGTGTTTATACCAAGGCGGGGAGGACGAAGGATGCCTATCCCGGGGGGGTGGGAGCGGGCGGGTAGGGTGGAAGGGAATGTAGAGACGGGGATGGTTGTAGGAAATGTAGAGTTGTGTTTATGGGGGGAGGGGCGGGTGGAGTGCTTGAGAGCTGTTTCGTCTGGGAGGAAGGAAAAAAATGGGAATTAACTCTGGGGGCAAGGGGAAGATGGGGGTGGGAATAGAGTCGAAATGTGATGATTGCCTGGCGAATGTTTTTTTTCCCTAGGGTCTGGGGGATGGTGTTTGCCCTAGTGTGTTGGGCGGGGGAGCTGTTTATCCAAGTGGCAGTCATGTAGCACAGGGTCTATGCTTGTCTTAGGGTGGGGGCTTGCGGGGAGTGGCACAGTGTTTACCTTGGGACCTGATTGAGGCTTGGTGAAAAGTGAGACTGGAAAAATGTGTGATGGGTTTTTTGTTGTTGAAATTAGGGCTTCTGTAGTTATTGAAATGAAATGAAATGACATGACAAGTCAGAAGGTTAGAGTTCAAAGATATTTCAGGCCAAAAGGCTTTACAGAAAACACATGCATTGAGAAGTCTGCTACAGTGTTTTGGAGAAACAGTCTGTCATTTTTCAGTTATTAACTTTGCAGCCTTTTCCACTCAATATTAAGTTCAATTACTTTAGACTGTGAACTCTGTCCTCCATTTTAATATCCTTTACCCCAGTGTCTGTATCTTGTCTGAGTTTTGCTTTCAGTTTGAGCTGACCTTTATTCTGCTACTTACACTCTGGACTTATGCTTTGTTATTTCTTTACAACCATGAGCAATAGGAGCAGGTTCAGACTATTCGGCCCCTTCAAGTCCACCCCATATTGATCTGCCTCCGATCTCAACTCCTTGTTTGTGCCAGCTCCTCATAGCCCTCCATTCCATGATAGTTTTAAGAAAATCAGCCTTGTCTTTCAATATTTTCTGCATCTGCTCTCCACAACATTCAAATAGAGCATTCCATGCATTCATATCCTTCAGAGAAGAAATTACTTCTCATTGCTGTTTTAAATGAGTGACCACTTACTCTGTAACTGTGTCACCATTTTGAGACATTCTGCACTAGTGGAAACATCTTCTGAACATCTATCCTGTCAAACTGTCTCAGAATCTTGAATATTTAATTCTTTAAAATCCTAGTGAATAGAGGCCTGACTTCTCAGCTGTTCTTAATTAATCAACCCCTTCATCCCAGGAATTGGCCTTATTGTTTCTTTTCCATTGCCTCCAATGCCAGTATACCAATTTTTAAATACTGGGTCCAAACCATATACAGTATTCTAGGTCTTGCCTGTTTGCAATTCCAGCTCCCTAGTAACAAAGGTCGAAATTCCATTTGCCACCTTAATTACTTGCTGCACTTGCATGATAAGGTTTTGTGTTTTGTACTCAAAATCAACCAGATGCTTCTGTACTACTTTGAAGTCCAAGTCCATTAAATAGTCTGCCTTCTGATTCTTCCTACCAAAGTGTGAAATCTCATACATTGTCTCATTAAACTGCATTTGCCAAGAATTGCCCATTCACTCACTCAATCTATCTATATCCCCTTACATATTCCTTGTGCCCCCATCACAACATGTTCTCCTAGCTACATTTGTACGATCAGTAAATTTGGATGCATTGCACTCTGCTCCTTTCTCCAAGTTGTTAATATGGATAGTAAATAAACAGAGACCCTGGGACTGATCTTTGTCACATTGTTAGAGTTTTAAATGCTAGGAAATAGTAATGATTATTTGATGATTTAATACGAATATAGTTACACATTAATCTTTGCTATTTTCTTTTAAGTTCTAGACTAACTGAACTTGATAAGCGTGAGGCAGTTGATTTTGAAAGAATGGCTCAGTTTGGAGGGCAGAAGAATCCCCCGTGGACCACCCAGTTTTCTGCTGCTGTTACACAGCCAGGTCAGTCTTTCTGAGTACTGCTATTTATTCTATGTGAGCATATCTCTATTAAGCCAGGCAGTATGTGTTCAGTCCCAGTCAGTGCACAATTGTCATCTGACCACCAGGTCACCTTGTAAAACAAATATGGGTTCAAATTTTCAGAGCAGTGGCAGTAGTTTTCAAATTGCCACTGCACTCCAATTCCCCCAGTTAGATTCTACTGTGAGTTTCTAGCAGGTCTTCTGATCCCGATTTTCTGGGAACTATTATTGGAGTCGGTTCAAGCCAGGGTTAACAGGACATGGCCCCTTGTATTGCATTTGCTACACTCCAAAAACTGTAGCAGTTCAAGAGTACAGCTCACCCCAATGTTCATGAGTATTTAGAGATGGCCAATAAATGCTGGTCAAGCCAGCAATGGGCACATCCCACGAACAACTGCCCAGAGTCTCTGACTCTATTTCAGAGGGTCCCAAGGAGTAGGAAAATTGTCCTTTAGAAGTTGAAACAGAGGTCAGCATTTCAAGTCAGCATTTCAAGTCCTCATGCACATCTTCAGTTATATATCCTATCTCCTAATTGCATAGGATTTGGCCTGTTGTGTATATTTTGGGAATTCTGTCTGCTGACAAACTTGTTAAATAAAAACACAAAATGCTGGAAGTTCTCACTAAGTCTGTCAGCATCTGTGGAGAGAGAATAAGGGTGAAACATATACCCTTTCCTATCCACAGATGATGCCTGACTAGGTGACTACTTCCAACATTTTCTTCTAAATCAAGTAGCCAATATCTGCAATATTTTGCTTTTAAGTAATGCCTTCATGCTCACAAGATCACATGCGCTATTTCACCTTGATTCTGTTATGGTCCTGGTAATGTTTTACCTCTGTCAAACCACATATAAAACCCTACCATTGCTGTCATGTTTGAATTTATTGTCTCCATCAGGTGCCCTTGGTGTTCAGCCATCGTTGCTAGGTGCCTCTCCAGCCATGTACACCCAACAGCCAGCCCTGGCTGCAGCTGGCCTCACCACCCAAACACCTTCAGGCTATCAGCTCACCCAGTCAGCAGCCTTACAACAGCAGGCAGCAGCTGTTGCATTGCAGCAGGTAGGCTTATCCACTCTCCTAGTGTCATGAACAGATATGCAGAGAGATCTTGTGCTGTGCTTTGATCAGTGCAGTCTTTGAGATATGATATAGTTACATTGTTCTGTAGTCTTACTGGTTAATGCAAATGATAAAATTGCAACTGCCAAGTTTACTCTTTACCCATTGGGATTGAATTCTAGCATCTTTTAGTCATGGATTTATTTTTAATCCAGTGAATGTTCCTTGTCACCGTAGATCAGAGATGTCCTGGCAAATGTCACTTTAAAACCAGTGTTTGTCCTGTGTTATGGTCATTATGAATCAGAATTCAGAAGTGTGTCTCTACATCTGGGTGATTTGATTGTACCAGTGCTTGAGGAAAAGACTAAGGGTTTGCTCCCACAGTCCAAAGCTGTGTAGGTTAGAAAGATTTGCCATGCTAAGTTGCCCATAGTGCCCATGGATGCAGAGTTATGGGGAAGGGTGAGGGGCTGGATTTGGATGGGGTGCTCTTCAGAGCGTCAGTGCAGACTTGATGGCCTGAAAGACTCTTTCTACATTGTAGGGATTAGAAATGAAACATAAGACATGAGGGCATTAGATGATTGTTCAAAGAGCCAGTGCGGACGTGGTGGGCCTAATGGCCTCCTTTACAATAACAATTCAGTGATTGTTTAAATGATTGAGCTAGTAACAAGTCTAATTACCAGCTTCAGAGATAGTAGGAACTGCAGATGCTGGAGAATCTGAGATAACAAGGTGTAGAGCTGGATGAACACAGCAGGCCAAGCAGCATCAGAGGAGCAGGAAAGCTGACGTTTCGAAGGATCTAGGTCCGAAACATCAGCCTTCCTGCTC